GGGAAAAATTACGATACGATCGCTAACATAACACTTTTATGAATTATCGTGTTGCACATTACACTAACTCAAATATATGTAGTTTCGTGAAAATGACAGAAACTTTATTCTTCTAAAAATTATAAAAATATAATTTTACACGATTTTTCATCAACCAAAATTGTATTATGCATAAACGAATCACGCGAGATCGTATTAACGCAGATAAGAATATTCCTTAATTGTTATCAGATTTAATTGTAAGCTTAAAAGTATTAATGCACATAAATTGTTGCATTAGTATTGCACGAAGAATTTTCTTGACGATTATTAGAATTGCAATATTATTCAACTGAACTGAAGAAGAAGAAAAACAAGATTACTATCCTTATCTATCTGAAAAAAAGTGGATATTTTATGGACACGAATATTCTTTTGTTAAATAATAATGAAAAAAAAAAAAAAAAAAAAAAAAAAAAAAAAAATAAAATAAAATTGACAAAATAAGATATTAAATTTTTTTCTCGATATTAATTAATGTTGATTAAATAGTTTAATTCAAAATTTGATATAGAACGAGGTATTTTAATAATGGCAACTTTCATTATCCAATACATAAAAAATAATTATTTCTTTTAAAATAAACTATACATTTAAAGAGAGTTCTAATTAAATAAAATATTTATCCATGATAAAATTTCATATTTTAACCATCAATTTTTCTCTATTATTTATATACTTTAAGATAATGATTTTTTTTTTTTCATTCTTTCATTCTTTCATTCCTCCATTCTTCCATTCTTCCATTCTTCCATTACCATTCATTTATTCATACAGAAATGTTCAAATGGAATTTAAAGAAAAAAAAAGTGTATCAAATTAGCGTTAAATATTTTAAATGACTTTGGAAATAATCGAATACAAAGTGAAAGTAATTAAGGATATTTTTAATTACTATATTTAAATATTATTCATATTCGTTAATTTAGTTGATTAACGATATGCAAATAATGCAACAGTTTGACTTCTTTTTAAGATTTCCATATAAATTAATATAAATGAGTATAAATCGTATAAATTAATATAATAAAGATACGAGTAATTATATATGCATACAATTTTCTTTTAAATATGACAAAACTATTTATATCAAATTAGCGGTAGAAGTTTTCATTTTACTGTAGAATT